CCCCAAAACCCCAAAACCCCAAAACCCCAAGATCAATGAATCATAAGAATCTGAGATGATCACACTATATATCTAAAATAGTCTTATTAAAGTTAAGTTATTGATTGATTCAGATTAAATACGTATGCAGATTTGCTTCCAATCTAATCCCAAGTATCATTATAAGAATGTTTATTTACAAGCTTGTCTCCAATCCTACTGATTACTTCAATACTTCTCGTGCACTATGGCATCTACCAGTTGGTATCTAATCTTAACACCATGCTTCCATTCCTCAAGGAATATCTCTTTGTTTTCGTTTACATAGTGTCCTCTACCGTGCTGCTTACCCTTGAAAAATTCTCCTTCATAGGTTCTGCCGTCTGGCCAGAAGAACTTACCGTAGCCATGCCTTTTATCGTTTAAGTACTCACCGTCATATCTCTTTCCATTTGGCCACTTGAATACTCCTTTGCCATTCATCAAGTTATTTTTCCATTCTCCTTCAAACATCTTTCCATTACTCCATTTATATATTCCCTATAAGAATCAATTTAAATTTAATGATAAGAAAGGACTAAATAAAATGGGTTTCATTAATAATAACCAATATACTTACTTTTCCATTGATTGAGTTATCGTAGAAATTTCCTTCATAGGTCGATCCATTCGGCCAAATGAATTTACCGAAACCGTTTTTCATTCCATTTCTATACATACCTTTGTAGTTTGCACCATCAGGCCACTTCTCTAGTCCTTCACCTTCTTGAAGATCATCTAGCCATGTTCCTTAAAATACGGATCCATTTTAGTAGTGATAAGTTCCCTTTCCATTTGCTTTATCATTTCTCCAGCTTCCCTCGTACACATCACCAGTTGCAGTTATAAGTTTTCCAATTCCATTCTTTTAATCATCTTTCCACTCCCCAACATACACACTGCCATCTTCCCATATTTAGGTACCTGGTCCGTATCTCTCAAGTTTCAACAAGTAACCTAATAAGACTTGATTAGACTAATATATATACCTCTGTAGGTTGAACCATCGTTAGCAATATGCGCAGGAACATAATTCAATCTGAGAGAGATTATCTGCTCTTACCAATCCAATACAAGTCTTTTATATAGACGCTCCTATATAGAGTAAGTCATTTTCAAATGATTAGAGCTGCATACAGATTTCATGTGCTCGCTTATGCTTGTGTCAGTGATCGACAAATTCTAACTCTCTAGAGAGGTGTTAGCTTTTTTCCTATCCAAATTGTATGCTTTAGTAACACTCTAAATTTGCATGTGAAGATATATTTGAATCATACGCTTTGATTTTTAGCAGAGCCTCGAGGCAACTGCAAGTCTGGATTCTCTGAGTTATTCGTACAACAAAGGCCTCCCATTATAATTCAAGCTTAATTTAAAATAAATATATAAATCTTATCTAGCATCTCCTTCCCTTATAGCATCCATGTGGGGTTTTGGGGTTTTGGGGTTTTGGGG